CTAATCTGGGTTCATAGGAACTCACGGAAACTGAACCAACAACCAGGGAGCCTACATGCGACTGACCTAGGCCCTCTGCATATATGTGACGGTTGTGCAACTTAGCCTTCTTGTGGGACTCCTAACAGTGGAAGCAGGGCTGTCTCTGACTCTTTTACAGGCCTTTGGGACCCTATTTCTCATACTGGGTTGCCTTGCTCAGCCTTAATACAAGGCATGACCCTTAATCTTACTACAACTTGATATGCCATGTTTTGTCAATATCCATGGGAGGCCTGCTCTTTTCTGAACAGAATGGAGGAAGAATGGATGGGGTGGGAAGAGGCAGAAAGGAGATGGGAGGAAGGACTGGGAGGAGAGGAGGGAGGGGAAACTGTGGTTGGAATGTAAAATAATTAAGGAAATAAAAATGAGAGAGAGAGAGAGAGAGAGAGAGAGAGAGAGAGAGAGAGAGAGAGGTCTTGTTGGACAGTGGATGTGCTGAGGCCGGAAGATTATCATAAATTCAAGGCCAACCTGGGCTACCAAGGGAGATCCTATTTCAAAACACCAATAGGTAGTACCTGAAGTGCAAGTCAATTGGTGGATGCTTGCCTAACATGCATGAAGCTCTGGGGTAGGCACCTAGGACCATACAAACTGGGCTTGGAGATTCATGCCCTGTGATCCTGGAACTAGGAAATAAAGACAAAAGGATTAGAATTCAATGCCATTCTTGAGAATACAATGAGTTAGAAGCAAGCATTGGATTTATAAGACTGTCTCTAAATAAAAAAAAGTTACAGTTTTAAAAAAAAGTTTTCAAGCCGGGCGGTGGTGGCACGCGCCTTTAATCCCAGCACTCGGGAGGCAGAGACAGGCGGATCTCCGTGAGTTCAAGACCAGCCTGGTCTACAGAGCTAGTTCCAGGACAGGCTCCAAAGCCACAGAGAAACCCTGTCTCGAAAAACCAAAAAAAAAAAAAAAAAAAAAAGTTTTCAAATTTGATTTGAGGAAGCTTGTCAGAAATGTTATGTTTGGATGCTTGATTTGAAAAGATAATGGATCATTACATAGTGTTAGTTAGTTATCTACTGACCAAAATGACAGTAACCATTTTTAAGATCATATGTTGTAATGCAAAATTAAATAATGAATAAATAAAGTGTAAAATTAGCTGGATGGTGGTGGTGCATGCTTTTAATTCCAGCACTCGGGAGGCAGAGGCAGGAGGATCTCTGTGAGTTCGAGGCCAGCCTGGTCTACAGAGCTAGTTTCCAGGACAGGTTCCAAAGCTACAGAGAAACTCTGTCTCAAAAACAAAACCAACCAACCAAACAAACAAATAAAAAGTGTAATCAGAAGATCCCTTGACAAAACACTCAAGGTAAATTACAAGGAATAAAGATTCCTTTTTGCCTCTGGCCTCTGGCCTCAGGTTTCAGTCCTTGATTGCACGGTTCTCTTTCTTTGGGCTTGCGGTAAGAAAGCACAGCGGGAAGGACTATGTGGTAGAGAATGGTTATTCACTATATGGCATCCAAGAAGTCTTCTCTGTGTGTGTATGATCTAGGGTATTCCTCCCCTAGGCTCCACACTAGGGTTCTACTTTGTCCTCAGTAGCACCACAGGCCTGCATTGTGTGGCCCTTTGCAGAGCATTTAACATCCAAACCATAGCTTTCCTTCTTTTTATACTGCTCTTCCAGAGGACCAACGGATTCCCAGGACCCGCACCAGGATGCTCACAGCTGCCTGAGACTCTGACTCTAAGGTTCTAATATACTCTTCTGGCCTCTGTGGACAATTATTCATTTGCAAATAACCCCACAGGGATACACACACACACACACACACACACACACACACACACACACACAAATCTTTTTAAAAAGTGATAAAGACAACATGTAGTATAGGAAGTTAGTTTTAAACATTTCAGAAACAAGGAACCTACATGCTGAGGTGCTGTTTTCTTTTATAAACTGTTACACACATTAAACAATTCACTCTCATTGTACATTTTGTTCTCTGACTAAATTATCATTTTACAGTTTTAAGAATCTAGGTGACATAATAAAAGCGCATTTCACTAGTAAATTCAAGTGAAAGAATTTTATATGAATTAAATAGGTTTATTTAAAGAAAATATTAAAATGTGTTTATTTACTAAAAATTGTAAGGAACATATGACCATAATAAATATTGTGGGATGTGTGATTCCCCTCTGTATGCTATGAATATGTTTTATTGCCATTGGTTAACAAAGAAGCTGCTTAATACAGCCAGGCTGGAAAATAGAGAGAGAGAGAGGGAAAGAGAGAGAGAGAGAGAGAGAGAGAGAGAGAGAGAGAGAGAGAGAGATTGATTTATGGGGAAGGGAGAGAGTGGGCAAGGATGGGAGGGAGGCAAGATTTGAGAGAGATCAGTATGCAAAGTATACATCTGTAAAGCTGTCAAAAAATAGTTAAAATTCAAGTTAAAATAAAGTAAAAGCAAAAGCAAAAAACTTTCTGGCCATAAGAAGTAAGCAAACTCCAGTGTCCCTCAGGAGTGAGATGCCTTCAGTTTCAGATCCACTGATCTGAGCAACTGGGCAGCTGGGACTGGGACGGGATTGTTTCCAACACAAACAAGGCAGCAAGAGCAGAGACAGCAAGGGCTGCAGCTCCTTGTTAAGGCACCGCCAGACAAAGAAAATGCTACCTGAGCGCTCTGTATCTTGGGTGCCTCTCCTGCCTGCTCACCTGATGCGTGACAAACCATGCCCTCTCAGCCAGCAGAAACTAGACCGGTTACAAGAGACTGTGATGGACACAGCGCCAAACTGTCACAACAAAAGAGATAAAAGGAAAATCTCATCTAGGCTGTGTGTGTGTGCGCGCGCGCCCATGCGCGTTTGTGTGTGTGTGTTTTAATTCGTGCCTCACAGCAAAGACAGCCTAAACACATTCTGTGGTCCTGCCCCAGTTTGTGAGGCTGGCTTGAACAGGCTTCGAACTATGCCTGCATTATAACCACGGTTATTCTGATCATTATTTTTTTTTTTTTAAAAAAAAATGGCAGAGAAAACAGGAGCAAAGGAAAACAAGGGCCTTCTGGGAGTCCAAGGGTCAGTGTTCAGTGAAGACTCACTGGCACATCTCGGAATCACAAACAACCAAGTCTTACAAACGTTTTTCTCCTAATGGAATTTGGAAGGGAAAAGGCACAGCATGCATACCCACCTGGACTTTCCAGACAGAAACCCAGGGCTCTGGCTTCAGTAAAAATGTGTGCCTTCTGTTGCCTTGGCCTGCAGGCCTGGACTTCAGCTTCAGCCTCTGCAGCAAATAAGGGGCCCCAGCTGTTCCCCAGCAGCTTCCCCTCTTCCTTCCTAGGCACTCCAACCTGGACTCTGGAAACTAACTTGACAAAAGACAGACTAAGAGAGTAACAGTTTCATTATGGGCCTTGTACTTACAAGAGTTTCCCAAAGACATGAGAAGGAAGGAGACACTGAGAACGAAAGCTTGTACATCATCTTAAGCTAAACCAGGGGAAAGTAGCTCCAGGCCTCTAGGTGAAAGAGGCCAGGTCTGGGGTGGAGGTGAAGGAGGACTTGTGGCCAGTGGCGTTGTCTTGTTATGCACACAAGACATGCAAGGTCAAGTGAGCTGTCTGCAGGAGCATGTCTCTTTACAGATGCAGTGTCCTGTATGTGCGACTCCTTTGAAAAGGAGCGATTAATATTTGGTTTTCTCCATTTCTAGGCAGCAAGGATATTCCTCCCAACTACTGTTTATTATCTCTGCTGGTTGTTAATTGTCATTAATTCAAAATGATCCATGAACTAAAGATGTGTGTTTTCAGGTAGCATATTCCGGTATTGTGTTAGACTTATCCCTTTGTGAGCATGTACCTGATAGGACAGGTTACTATGAGGGAGAGAGTGTAGAGATATTTTGTTTGTAATTTAACAAATAAATCTTGCCTGAAGATCAGAGAAGCAGTGCAGTCAGCCACTAGAGAGACCTTCTACCTCTACGGAATCCTCAGACAGACGGAGATCCTGTCTCTACTAATCCTCAGACTGCATGCTCAGACTGCACCTCCAGACTCTATCTGAGCTCTTTTCTCCTCCTGCCTTATAGTCCTGTCTCCATCCACCCATGTCTTTTCCTGTCTCCACCTCCCTAGTTCTGGGATTAAAGGCCTGTGACTCCCAAGTACTGAGATTAAAGGGGTGAGTCTGGCTCTGTTTCTCTTTGAGACTGGATCAGTCTAGTGTAACCCAGGGTGGCCTTGAACTCACAGAGATCCACCTGCCTCTGTCTCCTGAGTGCTGGGATTAAACATGTGTGCCAGCACTGCCTGGTCTCGATGGTTAGCGAGTGGTTTAGCTCTGCACTCTGATTTTCAGGCAAGCTTTATTATTTTGGTGCATGATTCCAGAGGTTTCAGTCTATGGCTCAGGGGTTTCATTGCTTCTGAGCTGCGCTAAGGCTGAGCATCCTGGAAAGGAGGTAGGAAGAAGTGGAGCTGGAGTCTGGAGAGGTGGCTTGCTGGTTAATCACACAATGCTCTTTCAGATGATCCACATTTGGTTCCCAGAACCTACAGGGGTAGTTTACCAAAGCCTGTAACTCCAGCTCTAGGGGGTACATCACCTCTGACTTTCCAGGGCACCTATACTCAATGCACATTCCTCCTACCCCCAAACTCACGTAGTTTAAAAGAAAAGTAAATCTTTCAAAGAGAAGAAGGAAGAGAGAGAGAGTGTGTGTGTGTGTGGGGGGGGGGATAAAAGCTAGGGCTGCTGAGGGGGCTGAGTGTGCAAACATGCTTGTCACACATGCCGGATGACCTGAGTATAAGCTCCAGAACCCACGGTGGAAGGAGAGAATTGACTCATGGAAGTCTTCTAGCCCTAAAACGTGCCATGTAACACATAGATATGCACGCACGCACTCATGCATGCATGGGCACAAGAACACATAGTGTCACACACACAGACACAGACACACACACACACAGACACACACACACACACACAAAGAAACAGAGTGGTTGTCTCATGGTGGTCAGAAGGGAGGCAGGAAGAGACCCAGGACAAGACACAGACTCCCAAGGATATGCTCCCAATGAGGGTGTTCTACCTCTTGATATTTCCAGAATTTCCCAATAACACTGCTAGCTGGGGACCATTCAGTGCCATTCAGCTTTTTTGGGGGGCACTCTATATCCACACCATAGTGGCTCTGCTTCAGTTTCAGCTTGAAGCCTTTTTCTCCTTTGATTTCTGGAGGTTTATTCTCCAGTGAGTGTGTTCATCTTCTTTCATTAGTAACTTCTCAGGCAGCCCCGAGAGACCACCTCTCCTCTTCATTTTTTAAAAAAAAATTATTTTATTTTTCTTTATCTGTATATATGTGTGTGCCTGTGCAGATGCCCCGAGAGGCCAGCAGAGAGGGGGTCAGATCTCATGTAGCTAGAATTACAGGCAGTTGTGAGCTCCCCTGATGTGGGTGCTGGGAAGAGAAGTCATGTCGTCTGGGAGAGCAGCAAGTGCCCTTAGTCTCTGAGCCTTTTCTCCAGGTCCTCTATAAAAGAAGAACAAAAATCCTTATTTATTTATGTATTTATTTGTGTGTCTGGGGGGTGCACACGCATACGTGCAGAGGCCAGAAGGGGGTACCCTGCGTTCTGTACTGCTCTTCATCTATGCCTTTGAGTCGGGGTCTCTACCTGAACCAGGGGCATGCATTTTCTCAGCCAGGCTGGAAAACAGAAGCCCTGGTAATCGTCCTGTCTCTGTCTCACTCTCACTCTGAGATACTAGGTCCTCTGCATATACCTTAAGGTTGCGTAGCAGGGTGCTCTTGTGGTACTCCTAACAGTGGGAGTGAGGGGTGTCTCTGACTCTTGCTGCCTGCTCTTGGGATCCTTTTCCTCCTGCTGGGTTGCCTTGTTCAGCCTTGATATGAGGGTGTGTACTTAGTTTTACTGCAACTGGGCAGCCTGCTCTTTTCTTCTTCTTTTTTTCTCTAAGGGAAATGGAGGAGGAGTGGATCTGGGGGAGAGGGAGGGGAAAACTGGGAACAGTGGAGGGAGGTGAAATTGTGGTCTGTATGTATCATATGAGAGGAGAAATAAAACATGAAAAAAAAAACCCACTGAGCCATCTCTCCAGGCTTTTCCCCCCTCACATCACCTCTGAGATAAATAAATGTGAAGAAAAAAATTCTCATTTTTTTCCAGACCCGTTTTTATTTTGAAGTTTGTTCTTGCCCGTGTCCCACGGGGGTCCCCATCCTCTCTCTCAAGGAGAAGATAATTTCAGGGCTGAATTCTGTCTCCTCATCTGACCTTAGCCCTTCTCATGTGCTTTTCTCGTTTGTTCTTATTACACGCAACCCTCTCTCTTCCTTCCGTTTCCTCTCATTAATAACTTCCCCCGGAGTCTCCTGAGTCAGCCTCTAAATCACCCTCCCAGTTCTAGCACCTTTGCCTTTTCCTGCTCGCTGCATATTTCCTCAGAGTGTATGCTTATGCTCCGAATTCATTTCCTTTGCTAAGTTAATCTCGCCATTTAAGGGAAAAGCTGCGAGCCGAGCAAGGACTGTGCGGAGACAGCTGCAGCCTTAGGTGAGAATCAGCAGCAGAGACGGGCAAGTCCCTTGGCTCTCTGCATACCTCGTTCTTTTCTGCGAAAATGAGCAGGGTGGTCCGGCACCGGTTAGAAACTCAAAGGCAGAGTGCAGGCGGGTTAGGTGGATGCATTGAAGCTGGCCAGCCAGAGACTGTGGGAAAATTCGAGCACAAAGCTGTATTCAAAGTGTATTACTCCCGCTCGGCTCTGGTTACTGCCACAGCGACGTGTTGGTCACCCAGGGCAGACAGACAGCCCAAATTTCAGTAGTTATCAAGAAACTGATTAAAAGAGAGAAAGAAACTGTGAAGAGTTCTACACCAGGAAGGACAAAACCGTCACAGAGAGAAAAGACAGAAGCCTGCTCTATCTTGACTTTCAGCTGGAAGTCCTGAGGAAAATGATAGCTGACCATAATAACATATGCCTGTTATCCCAGCAATGGTGGGCAAAGGCAAGGGGTTGTGAGTTCAAGGTCAGCTGGGGCTACATAGCAAGACTCTGCCTCTAAAACTCTAAAATAAAGTGAAATAAGTTAACTTTCTAATTTTTATTTATTTATTGGTTTTTCGAGTTAGGGTTCCTCTCTATAGCCTTGGTGCCTACCCTAAGAACTTGCTCTGTAGACCAGGCTGGCATCATACTCACAGAGATCCATCCACCTGCCCCTGCCTCCCAAGTGCTGGGATTAAAGGTGTGTGCCACCACCATCCAGCCTAGTCTTCTAATTTTAAAGGTGAACTGGATTCTAATATGCATCAAACGAAACACATGTTATCCATGGGTCAGATTTGATCCTGAGCTGCTATTTGTGGAAGTTAGATGAGATGGTGTGTGTGTGTGTGTGTGTGTGTGTGTGTGTGTGTATGTATGTATGTGTGTGTGTGCACGTGTGTATTCAGGTCCTCCCGAGAAGGATATCAGGGGCCCTACTCTCTCTCTGCCTTACTCTTTTGAGACAGGGTCTCGCACTAAACCTGGAGCTAGGCCCAAACTGTGGTGATTCTTTTGTCTTTGTCCTCACAGAGCTTTGGTTACAGGTGCATGTGTGTCTATGCCCAAATGTTCCCCTGGGTGCTGCGGGTCTGACCTCAGGCCCCCATCCTTGTACACCAATTACTCTTACCCATGGAGTCATTTCTACCACGGGACTTTCCCATTATTTACAAGTCTAAAATTTCATGACTCTTGGGTTCCTGCTAGGAGGAGGTGCACATTCTTTCCCGCCTCTGTCTTGAAGTGCCTATGCTCCCAGCCTGGTCAACACATCTGCTGGGTGTGTGAACCTCCTACCTTAGCTGACCTTGGGATGCACAACCCAGTCTTACAGAGAGGTCAACCCTTCATAGTGGAAGCCTTCTCCTCTGTTTCCTTGTTTGGAGGCAAATTTCTGTCATGCAAATTGCTATAGTTTGGATCTGCCTTAAGCATGTCTCCCAGGGGGCTGTCTGCTGGGATCCCCATTGTGGCAGTGTCTGTGGGCAGAGTCCTCAGAGGTGGGAGGTGGTTGGGGCCTTGAGAGATTCGGAGGGATTAATGCAATTGTGTGGAACTCCTGTTTGTAACCTTGATAGCAAGTTGTTATATAAAAAAAAACAACAACAAGCCCTTCTCCACCATGTCTTTTTGCTTCCCCTCTGACCATGTAATTCCTCCTCCACATCGCAATGCCTTCTGCCATGCTGTGATGTAGCAGGGAGGGATTCAGCAAAGGTGAAAACAGGGGACCCCTCAACCTGGGACGGTCACCCTGCAGAACCGAGTGAGTCAACCTCTCGCTTTAATAAAATTCTAGTGTCTAGTATTTTGTTAGAGCAACAGAAAAATGGGCTAGGACACTTGGATTCTATGTCACTGAGGCTCAGAATCCCAGGCAAAGAAATGGATGTTAAAAATGATCGATGGTTGGGGCTGCTTAAAGTGACAAGAAAGCCACTGGGCGGTGGTGGCACACACCTATAATCCTAACACCCAGTAGGCAGAGGCAGGTGGATCTCTGAGTTCAATACCAGCCTGATCTACAGAGTTCCAGGACAGCCAGGGCTACAACGAGAAACCCCGCCTTGAAAATAAAAAGAGACCTGACATGAATAGGCACTTAGGAGCTGCTTTTACTAGGCCACATTGTTATCTTACCTGATAACTGAAAATGAGATGAAATCCCATATTTCTACCTTTATTTTGTCTGTCTGTCTGTCTGTCTGTCTGTCTGTCTGTCTGTCTGTCTACCTCTTTGGCTTTAGCTGAAGTCACAGAGATGAGTCATCCCCCTTAACCTCCTTTCTGGAGTTGTCTTGGATTCTGGGAATAGCGGAACTCTGCAGGACCGAGTCCCTACCCCCACCTCGCAAGAAGGCAACTGTCCATGAAGACAAGGCAGTACTCTGGAGCAGATGTCATATCTCCTCAGACCAGCTTGCCCCTGCAAGCAGTACAGGCTTCTTCAGACCATCTTTCAGAACTAGAGCTGGGACAGTGATCCAGGAGACCACACCTAGATCAGGGCTTCATGACCACGCTTGCTTCTCCACTTCCTGTCTTCTTATATTGAAGCCCAATGTTTGTGCTTGTACCTCACAGACAGTTTTGGGGTCATTAGATTCCTTTATTTGTGTTTTTTTTTTTTTTTTTTTTTTTTTTTTTTTTTTTTTTTTTTTTTTTTTTTTTTTTTTTTTTTTGCACTGTGGCTACACTTTATAAATGTCCCAACTTTTTAAATGATGCATTTATAATGTACACAGTGTTCTGCCTGCATATATGCATGCAGGCCAGAAAAGGGCATCAGATCTCATTACGGATGGTTGTGAGCTACCACGTGGCTGCTGGAAATTGAACTCAGGACTTCTGGAAGAGCAGCCAGTGCTCCTAACTGCTGACCCATCTGTTCAACTCCCCCGCATCTTTTTAAAATCATTGTTTGTTTCTTTAACTGGTGTATCAGGATGGGTGGTCAAGCCTAGCATGCTGAGAATTCTAGAACCCAGACTTTTATCTTGTTACAAAGGTTAACTTTACATCTTAGCTTGCCTGACATTAAATCTTCTGTAGACACCTTTCTTTTTAACTTTATGTGTTTGGGTGTTTTGCCTCTGCAAGAGCAGCAAGTGCTCTTAACCACTGAGCCATCTCTCCAATCCCTTGTAGATATTTCTTCCAAAAGAGTTGCTCTGGCTGTTGCTACAGGCCCGCCTTCCCTGGACTAAAACCTCTCTGTCCCAGCTCCCCTCTCACATCCATCCAAGAATGGTAACGTTTTTGTTAAACCTGATAGGCCTGCTTCTTTGTCATCTTACCCTTGACCAACATTTGCGCCTGAAACCATGAGGCAAAGTAAAACATTCCTTCCTCAAGTTATTTTTGTCATGATGGCAAAAGTCTAGTTCTACTATATTATATTTATTATTATGTATTATATCATGTTTTGTATAATATAATACAGTGTCCAAGACATATAGGAAGTACTTTTGCCCTGCAATTACCAGTGCTGGCTATTTAAAAACAGCACAAAACAGATCTCTTATTTATTTTTTATTTTTCTTTTGTCATCGACATTTTATTTAATATCTCAAAATAATTCACAGACAGAAATTGTGATTACCGATACAATTCAAGACATAAGGGATTCTTGAACAATCCTTTAAGATTTTCTCCCCTCTTACTAGACACCAACAATTCAATATTCAATTCTCATCTTCCTTATAAAAGACTTATTTTTATCATTTAGGATTAGCTGCATGTATGGGTCTTCATGCGGGTATGTGTATCTGAGTGCAGGTATCCTTCAGAGGCTGGAGGTGACAGATTCCCCTGGAACTGGAGTTACAAGAATTGTGAGCTGCCCAATATTGTGCAGAGAACCACAGAGCCCTGGCTCGGTGACTATGGTCAGCTTAACTTCAGACCCATATCTCAAGCCCTCAGTCCTTATCTTGATATACTGCACAGCCAAGTGTGCTTTCTTCTTTAGAGAACATAGAGTCGCTACTGGAAGCCACCCACATCCGAGCTCTATCACCCCACTTCTCCTAACCCTAGCACGTTCTTCTCTCTGGTTCTACTCTGTGGAATATGAACAGAAGTGGTACATGGCATTTCCTAGTCAAGCCTGAAGGAGAATGTATAATCTCTCAATTCTCTTTTTCCTTCCATCAGCTGGATTCATTTGAAGACGAGGCCCTGGGGGAAGACTGAACTACAGGATAAAGGAAATTGGATTCCCAAATCACAGCAATGAGAAAATCTGACTAGGGCCCACATGTCTTGATAGGTTAAGTGAACAGGAAATAATCCTCTGTTAAATTTGGATCATACAGTTTTGGTCTATAATCTTTCTGACATTACTCTAGTTAATACAAAAGCTTGTACCTCAAAAGATGTATAGCTATAATAAAGGTCGGTTATTGGCTGACTATTTAGGTAGCACTGCACAGGGACAGATGGTGCTGGGATGGTAAAGTCTCCTGCTATGCTTTGGGAAAACAGAGAGAGAGAGAGAGAGAGAGAGAGAGAGAGAGAGAGAGAGAGAGAGAGAAGGCAATCGGCTGTAATGTCTACAAACCACAAAGGTGACCAACATGGCAAGATAGGATCTACACTAGTGGCATTAATATCTTGGTGGTAACCAACAGCTGTCTAATAGGACTTATGGCCTACTCAATAGGAGCGTGTTCATGCCTAGTACTGTGAACCCAGAAAACTACCTATAGCTGGTGAGGCCTTGGAACTTAGAGAGGAACTTACTATTGCCACTTTTCTCAACCAGTCTACTTTCTAGCTACATTTTAAATATGTATCCTTAGAGTCACAGAGGAGTATACCTCTCATTCTTTGTCAAAGAGTCAAAGAAACGTCTTTTTTTTTTTCAGCAGATGGAGATCATTATAGAAGACAGAGTGGTCAAAAATGCAGAGATCAACTGATGGTGGGGGTGGGGTAGCCCCAGTGACTACATCAACAACACATCCCTTCATCCCTTACATCTAAAGCTCAGGGAATACCTAGGAAGAGGAGGTGGATAGGTCATAAGAGTCAGAAGACTAGAGCATCTGCTACAAGGGTGTGCCTTTCCTATATGACAGTGCAACCATGAAATCTCAGCGATATGGCCACCTAAACAAGGCCTGAGTAATGACAACACTAGCCGACACGCTAAGGTGAATGGAGGAAATTTCGTGGACCCGCACCCCAGGTCAAGAGCTATAGGGAATTAGTGACTGGTGAGAAAAGGAGAATCAGTCTCCGCAGTAACCCTGATTGGTTATCAAATACCAAGCCCTAAAAACAGATACATATACACAGCACTACATGGACTCAACAGGTTGCATTTATCTATTTATATGTATGTATACACATAACAATAATAATTAAAGAAAAAGAAAGAGGTGATGAAGAGGTGAGGGTGGATCTGGGAAGAGTTAGAGGACAGGGGTGAATAAGACAAAAGTGCATTATGTGAAAGTCTCAAAGAATTAGGACAAATATTACATTTCAAAATTATGCTTATGATCACATGAAAGGCAGAATGCATTTCTACAATGGAACGATGACTTCTATATATTTGCAATTATTCTTTCTTTAAAAGTTTTAGATTACATTTATTACTTATCTGCCTATTTGTAGATATCACAGTATGTATGTGGAGGTTATAGATCAAGCTTGGAGAGTTGGTTCTCTCCTTCTACTGTGTGGGTCCTGTGATTGAATTCAGATAATCAGGCTTGGTAGCAAGTACCTTTATCCACTGAGCCATTTCATCAGCCTAAAACTCTTTCTTCTTATTAGAACCTTTTTATTATAGTTCTTATTGTGGGCTGATGAAGGGGTAGGAAGTTTTCTTTCTGTAGACAGCTGGTTGTTGTGAGTTCTAGGCTGGCCTCTAATTCATGATCCTCTTGCCTCAGTCTCCCTTATAAATTCTGGGATTACAGGCACGTACCACCATACTGGGATTGCTTTCCTCTTTATTTATTTTAGCAAGATGTTTATTTGTATGTAGAATGCCTTGTTTGCATTTATGTCTGCTCTTCACATACATTCAGTGTCCTCAGAGGATGATCCCTGGGACCTGGAGTTACAAAGAGTTGTTAGTCACCCTATGGATGATGGGGACTGAACCCAGGTCCTCTGCAAGAGTAAGTGATAAGTCATCTTAACCATTGACTTATTCATCTAGGCCCTGTTTTTAATTTAATTTTTAACATTTACTTATTTGTATGTATGCGTGTAAGGAGAGACTGCTTGCTCGTTTCCTGACTGCTCAGACCTGAATAATCACACACAAACTATATTAATTACAACACTGGTTGGCCTATTAGCTCAGGCTTTTTATTAACTAACTCTTACATCTTAAATTAACCCATTTCTATTAATCTGTGTATCGGTACAAGGCTGTGGCTTACTGGTAAGGATCTGGCGTCTGTCTCTTTTGGCCGCTACATGGCATCTCCCCGACTCTGCCTACTCTCTTTTTATATCTCTTCCAGCCTGGCTATATTTTTCCCTGCTATAGGCTGAAGCAGCTTCTTTATTAACCAATGATAATAAAACATATTCACAGCATACAGAGGGGAATCCAACATCATTTGTGTGTATGTGTAGAGGCACACATGAAGGTCAGCTTGTGTGTGTGTGTGTGTGTGTGTGTGTGTGTGTGTGTGAGAGAGAGAGAGAGAGAGAGAGAGAGAGAGAGAGAGAGAGAGAGAGAGCGAGCGGGGGGGGGGGCATACATTGAGGTCAGAGTACAACTTGTAAAAGTTCTCCATGTAGGATTCTGAGTACTGGACCCAGGTTATCTGAACTGATGGCAGGTGCTGGAAAGCAGAGTATGTAGGTCAGTTGTAGAGTACTTGACTGGCATATTCAAGGCCCTTTGTGTGTGTGATGTGTCTGTGCTAAGAATGGAACCCCAGCTCTTGCATATGCTAAGCATATGATCTACCACTGAGCTACAGTGGTAACCCATGTGAAACCTTAGAGCAATGTCTAATTGCTCTAAACACCAGGTGAATATTAGCCATTATTGTTACTTAGAATTTTCTTTTTTTTTTTTGTGTTTTTTTGAGACAGGGTTTTCTGTCCTGGAACTAGCTTTTGTAGACCAGGCTGGCCTTGAACTCACAGATATCCACTTGCCTCTGCCTCCTGAGTGCTGGGATTAAAGGCATGCACCACCACCGCCTGGCTTACTTAGAATTTTCTTTGAGCATGCAAGTAGCCCTGAGGAAATGATCCTCTATCTTTGCCTTTTATCTTTGGGATTTTGAAAGCCACACCAGGAAACAGTTTGTAGAGATGTCATGGTAAGACCTGTCTGTGATTCTAGCACTTGAGAAATGGAAGCAGGAGGGTCGATAATTCAAGGTGCTCTCAGCTGCATAGTAAATACCAGGCCAGCCTGGGGTACATGGGGGCCCACCAGAACCAAAGCCCCACCCGCCCAAACCAAGTTGTCGATATGAGAAAACAACATCTTTAGAGAAAATTAATCCAATTGCTTCTCGGAGGCCTTTTGACTAAGATCAAGTGTAGAGAGAATTAATCTAAATCAATTTCGGGAAAAGACTATCTCTAAGTCATTTCATTAATCACGGCATTCCAGATGCTTCTAATTTAGTTGGGAGAAGCCAGGCTATTGTATGTAGGAAAGGGATGCATGAGGAGAAAGAAGACAGATTCATGAAAAACTAATGAAATAATAAAAAGTACTGTGTCTATTTGGGTGCTGACTCTAAGTCCCTCTCTCTGGAATTTACCCCGAGGACCCTTCTTGCTGCTAGGAGGGCATTGACCTAATGGCTCCAGGCTGTCCTCTAGGGCAGCTCAGAGGACTGATGCCCCCCTCACCTGACCGGATGTGGAGCCAGTTCTGCGAGAGTCCAGCTAAGCCGCAGAAGCCTATCAGTCATGCCACATCAGGCCTGGAGCTGGTTTATGACCGAGGAGAAACAGCCAGGACGACAGGAGAGCAGGAACTGTGAATAAATGAAGGGATCTGGTCTGAAGAGATAAGAACGGGGCAGATATTCAGAACAGAGCACCACAGAGAGACCACACAGCTCCGGGATTTATGGAGCGTGGCCTCCGACTGACAGCTTACCAATTCCCGTCCTCAGCTCCCACGAGGCTGCATTCAATGGCTCTTTCATGAGTTCCAGGGCCCTTCAAAATAAGCCTACTTTTAAAACCTCTGCGTTAGCTGAGTCAGTTGCTTTTCCTTTCAACCAAGGACTCGGTAATGATGCGGTCAATGACTGAGTCAGTTTAAATAAAATCTCCTCATCAAACGTGCTTACATAATAGCAATCATTAGCAGGGGCACCAGCCATACAAAGTCCACCTTTGCTTGGGGTCAAAGGACTATCAAACCTTCTGGTACTGGGACTATGTTACCCTTCTCTCCACTCTCAAGTTCCCATTTACAGTCTGGATTCTATGCTTTCCATTCCTCAGAGAGCATCTCTGCAGTGATTTGAATTGATGGTTTTAAATTTTTCTGATATCTTCTACAACTGACCAAATAAGTACATTTTTAGATGTTCCTTTATTCAGAAATTTTTGGGTTTGGAATGGAATGAATCCTTTCTTTTCTTTTTCTTTATTCCAGCAATAGAAATTCATGTTCATTGAAGATAAATTCAAAAAATTATTTTATTTCATGTGTATGAGTGTTTTGCCTGCTTGCATGTCTGTGCACCATATGTGTGCCTGGTGCCTGCAGAAGTCATTCAGGTTTTTGATGATCTGTAGTTACAGATGGTTGTGATCTACCATGTGGGTGCTGGGAATTGAACCTGCAAAAGACACTTTATAGGGGTTTTGCATAGACATGGTCTTCCTATGTTGCTGAGAATGCCCCCTGACTATCATAATCACCCTGTCTCAGCTTCCTGAATGTTGGGATGGTAGGCTTTGCTACATAGTTTAGATAATATAAATAAGTAAAAGAGAAATAAAAAAGTTATCAGTTACATCAACAATTTTTAGGCTACCACTCCAACAAAGTCAACACGTAGTCACTGGGGCTTGCTTAGTTGGTAAAGTGCTTGTCATGCAAATATAAGGACCTGATTTGAAACCCATGAAAAAGCCAGACAAGCACCTGTAACACCAAAGCTGGGGGAGGCAGAAACCAGCAGATCTCTGCAGCTGCATGGCCAGTTAGTCTAGAGGAATCAAGTACCATGTCTGATGAGAGACTGTACCTCAAAAGTAAGGTAGAGAGTTATTGAGAAAGACTCCCAGTGTCGACCTCTGGCCTACACACACACACACACACACACACACACACACACACACCCCATCTCATTATCTGGAACTGTCTCCAAGTATTCATATGATCATACTGGGTCATTTCTTTAATAAACTCAGACATTATCAAGAATTAGAATTTGAAATTAGGCTTCTTATTCTAATGACCAGCAAATAACACTTTTGATTCTCTTGTCTTCTAGGAAATGAAAGAGTATTGTTACCTGACAGCTAGACCCTCATTGTCTTGGAGAAGAAGATTGAAGCCACGATCCTGTTCTTTTCACTCGGTTCCTGCTCATCCCTGTGCTGATGGAAGTGTGATTCTCTACTCCCTTCTGTCCCAATGGTGCCCTTGTATTTCCTGCTAAGGCACTACTTGGCTTCAGTCCCAAAGAGGCCTGCTTGGCTACTCTGTTTCGTTTTCTTTCTTCTTATTTTGGGTTTTTAGTTATCTGTTCATTTTCTAGGAAGCAGTATTTCATTTGTTTCCTCTTCGGGGCAAACATTCATTGTCTTTGTTCCTCTTATTATGGTCCCTTGTGAGGTTTAATAGGTCCTCTGGGACATAGCTTGGTATCTCTCTTTCTTTTACACATGACTTTTTACTGTGAACTATTTATCTCCATTACCCACTGTTAAGGTGTATACAGTCAAAATACCAAATATCCTGCAATAAGGCCACTCCCTGCTCTGGTTTTCTGTTTTCTGAACCCTCCCTTCTATTTTCAAACTCTTTTGGAAGGATCGTTTTGGGTAAATAACATTTTTTTGATTGTCTATCTACCAAAGACATGTGTTCTTTTTTCTTAGCTCCCCACCTCCTTCTTTCTCTGGAGTTTCACGTTTTACTTTTTATGTGAAGATTCCTCTGGAGTTTTACCAGGGGATCCAATGGCCACCTAATTAGTGCAACCACACTTGCCTACAGAGCATCATCCCTGGGAGTCAGAGGTTGTGGTAATCCATAGCAGCTAGCACAGGCAGACTATAGGATAATGCTTTGATAGTTATGCAAGTCATAGCTATTAATGCAATTCTTATTATGTTCTGGTCATCATCCATCTTGAATAAGATGGACAGGGTCCTGGCTCTTAAATAATTCATGGTCTGATGGGTGGTGATGGCACACGCTTTTAATCCCAGCACTCAGGAGGTGGAGGCAGTCAGATCTCTTTGAGTTCAAGGCCAGCCTGGTCTACAGAGCTAGTTCTGGGAAAGCCAGGATGGATACACAGAGAAACCCTGCCTTGAAAACACAAAACAAAAACAAAAACACTCATGATCTAGTGGGATGTGTTATATACGCCAAGCTCACCTGTGGCTAAGGTGGGATCAGTTTTAGAAAAGCACATTCCCAGGCAGGAATGATAGGAAGGGGTGTCCGAAGAACTCAAAGGCCACATGTAGCTGGGTGTGGAGTGGTGTGCACGGAGGTTGTGGGTGACATTTGAGGAACCACGGAAGATGAAACCGGATTAAGACTTTTTAAAAATATACTTTACCCCGAGGATTCTGGGAAATCATTGTAGAATAGTAGGTAGATATGACTGGATTTGTGGCGTGTAAGGAATGTCAACCTCCACTAGTCACGGAGGCCAAGGCTATGACCCTGGAAGGTCTTTCATATGTAGAAAAATATTTTGCTAATGAACTGAAGGTCAAAGGGGTCAGGACGATTCACCAGAACTTGAACGAACACTTACTATGTCTTCCTCCTTTCCTTTTGTGTCTCCACCTTTCTTCTCTTTCCCTATGGCCTCATCTTCCTCCTCCTCACAAACATTCTCTTAGAAAACTCTGAAAATCTGAACAGTTCAAAGACCTTCCTTCCTTCCTTCCTTCCTTCCTTCCTTCCTTCCTTCCTTCCTTCCTTCCTTCCTTCCTTCCCTCCCTCCCTCCCTCTCTCCCTGCCTCCCTCCCTCCCTCTCCCTCTCTTTCCCTCTCTTTCACTCTCTCTCTCTTCTTCTCCTATGCCACTCCTGTCTCCAGAGGCTGGTCTTCCTCCTGCCTTCCCTCCCTTTCCCATTCCCTTCCCCAATAAAAGGCCCTCCACGTGAGTTCTGTTGCATGCTGGTGTCTCTCTCTTTCTCCCCCACCGTGTTTTAAATTATAATGCTTGCTTCAACTTGAGTCAATGCAGAAGACCTGTCCTAGCTTTGTTGCCTGTGAGAGTAACTTGAGACATGGGCTGGATTTGTCATACTTCAACTTGTTCTTCCCAACCCCGTTTCCCCCTCTCTCTTCCAGGTCTTATTCCAGAAATATTTCCTCACCTCCCATTAAATCTGTACATATCTCTCCATATCAGAGTCTCTTTTCTGGGTAAGATGATCAAAGGCAGTGTAATGATCTATCCTGTCCCTTTAAGAGACAAGCCACACCCACTCCCCCCAAGCTGATCTTCAGCTTCCAGCCTGAGTCTTTCCCTTTTCAGTCTCCTCAGAGAGGCAGCTTCCTTTTCTCCTTTCTCTCCCCTCTCTGCCTTTCTGCTCTTCTCCCCTTCTCCCTTTCCCTTCCATAACCCATAACCCACTAAATAAATATCCAACCTCTCTCTGCGTGGCATGCCTATCTGTCTGTCTCTTGCCCAGCCACCATGTGGCTCCCTGCCCAGGACCAGCAGCCTTCAGAGACCTACGGAGTGGTCTTGTGCACAGTCCCTGCCTGGGACTGGCTGCTCTGGGGCCCGCTGCCTGCAGCCTCTTGGGGACCTGCAGCATTTTATTTAATCCATTACAGGCAGCCCAGTACTTTTCAAGAAAACAAGCCAGCCAGCAACTCATAAACCAACAGAACAAGGATATGCAGATATATGTGATTTAAGGGTAGACAAAGCTTTTCAAGATTGCAGGGGACAGCAATAACAATAGTTATTGTTAGGGAAGAAGTAGGAGGGATGTGTGCATCAGCTGTGACAAAGTGCTTGAGAAAAATAACTTAATGAAGAAAAGTTGTGTTTGAGTTTATGGTTTCAGAGGTGTGGAGGCCCAAAGATGTGAGCCTATTTCCACCCTGACCAAAGGTCAGAGAGTTGGAACTTACTTCTGCTCCTTCAAGGTTATTGTCTGTTTCTACCTCAAGCAAAGATCCTACCTAGATTTAGATCAGAGAGTTCTGCTCTCTCGAGGTTATTGTTAACAGGTGTGGCTAATATCCAGAACTTGTGTTTCAAGAATAGAGACATAGATATGTTTCTACCTCAAACACAAGTCTAAGGATCCTACTAAGTTTCTGCTCCCTTAAGGAGACAACAATGGGTTCCACACAGGGAGTGGTTATTACCTACAAAATGTTTTGGGCTGGGGTTGAAAGTTACTCGGGTTCTTAGAGAATCTAAATAAGAAGGAGAACCCAAAGAAAAACATATAGGCATCCTCCTGAATATTAACCTTCATCAGGTGATGAAAGGAGACAGAGACAGAGACCCACATAGGAGCACCGGACTGAAATCTCAAGGTCCAAATCAGGAGCAGAAGGAGAGAGAGCACGAGCAAGGAACTCAGGACCGCGAGGGGTGCACCCACACACTGAGACAATGGGGATGTTCTATCGGGAACTCACCAAGGCCAGCTGGCCTGGGTCTGAAAAAGCCTGGGTTAAAAC